AATCCGTTTCCAAGGTAGGATATGCTTGTTAAAAAGAACAAGAGAACTCTTCCCTGGGCACACGCTAGCGTCTCCTGGGTCGGTTGTGTTACCACATATTATCCACGTCTCGGTTCAGGAATATTAACCTGATTCCCTTTCGATACACGAGGCTGCATACAAAACGCAAGGACGAACCCCACGCCTCAAACAGCCCAGCTTTCAAACGGAATTATCCTATCTCTTAGGATCGACTCACCCGTGTCCAATTACTGATCACACGGAACCTTTCTCCACTTCAGTCTTCAAAGTTCGCATTTGAATATTTGCTACTACCACCAAGATCTGCACTAAAGGCCGTTTCACTCAGGCTCACGCCACGAGCTTCTTCACGACCTTCACGCCCTCCTACTCATTAACGCGTACATTATAAATGCTATCGCGCTAACGGCAAAGTATAAGTAGCCCGCTTTAGCGCCATCCATTTTCAGGGCTAGTTCATTCGGCAGGTGAGTTGTTACACACTCCTTAGCGGATTCCGACTTCCATGGCCACCGTCCTGCTGTCTAAATGAACCAACACCTTTTATGGTATCTAGGTGAGCGAGCATTTTGGCACTTTAACTTTGCGTTCGGTTCATCCCGCATCGCCAGACGAGCTTACCCCGTATGGCCCACTAGCAACTTGATATTCACATCCACAAGTTCAATTAAGAAACCTGCAGGTCTTACAGATTTAAAGTTTGAGAATAGGTCGAGGAAGTTTCTTCCCCGAATCCTCTAATCATTCGCTTTACCTCATAAAAACTATCGTAAATAAGTTGCTGCTATCCTGAGGGAAATTTCGGAAGGGAACCAGCTACTAGATGGTTCGATTAGTCTTTCGCCCCTATACCCAAGTTTGACGATCGATTTGCACGTCAGAATCGCTACGAGCTTCCACCAGAGTTTCCCCTGGCTTCACCCTACTCAGGCATAGTTCACCATCTTTCGGGTACCAACATATGTGCTCAAACTCAAATCTTTCACCACGAAGGTTCATGATCGGTCGATAGTGCCACACCGCAGACCGAAGCCCGCAGCATTTCCTACCTCAGACAACTTACGCTGCCCTTCACTTTCATTTCGCGCTGGGGTTTCCACACCCTAACACTTGCACACATGTTAGACTCCTTGGTCCGTGTTTCAAGACGGGTCAAATCGCTCCATTTCGTCAACGTCCCGAACGGCAACAAGTTAAAACCCACATCAATCCACACACAACCCACACACGCATAGCAAAGCTATCCGCACACGGCGCACACAGAGACACAGGCCCACTCAAAAACACGTTGTAGGCACCTCAGTCCCAACCGCGACTACTCGTCCACCAAGATATAACAGACAAACGCAAGCGTAAGCCCTACCTCCTCGGCGGCCATTTCCCGCAGCATACGAACTGACCTTGACGTCCCACCGCAGCACAGGGCACCAGCAAGCACACACAGCACACACGCCGAGCGCAGCCAAAAAAGCCGCTGCCACAGCACACGCACGCACACACTCGCCAATGAAATATACCACGGATTATAGACACTGGAAACGATTCGGTTCCCTTTCAGCAGTTTCAGGTACTCTTTAACTCTCTTTTCAAAGTTCTTTTCATCTTTCCCTCACGGTACTTGTTCGCTATCGGTCTCGCACCAATATTTAGCTTTAGATGGAATTTACCACCTACTTTGCGCTGCATTCCCAAACAACGCGACTCAAAGAAAACGGATCGTACGCACGAGCAACTCAGGGATGAACGGGAGTATCACCCTCCATGCTGTCCTCTTCCAAGGAACTTGCCCCAAGCGCCCACACTGATCACGCCTCTATAGACTACAATTCGCCGCGCAAAACTTGCACGGAGATTTTAAGCTTGAGCTCTTCCCGCTTCACTCGCCGTTACTAGGGGAATCCTTGTTAGTTTCTTTTCCTCCGCTTATTAATATGCTTAAGTTCAGCGGGTAATCTTGCCTGATATCAGGTCCAATTGAGATGCATACCGAAGTACACAACATTTCCCAAATGGATCGACCCTCGGCAGCCGAAGCCGCCACTCTACTTCGCAACAGCAAAGCCGATTCAAATGCCAAGCTAAAGAGCCATGGTTCACCAGTCCATCACGCCACAGCAGGAAAATCACCCAATAAGCGCATTGTTCAGCCGAAGCCAACCATACCACGAATCGAGCATTTCTCCATTAACGCCGCAGCAGACAAACCGGTCGCCAACTCGCTACAATAGCAGCGTCCACAACCAGCAATGCCACCACTTTTGGAGCAAAGAGAAGTACAGTTTAGTACATTTAAAAGGACTCGCAGTCGGTCCGAAAACCAACCGCAAGACACTTCACATCTGGCATCTCCTCCACCGACTACACGGAAGGAAGAAAGCCAAGTTTGTTGTACGGACACTGATACAGGCATACTTCCAGGACTAACCCGGAAGTGCAATATGCGTTCAAAATTTCGATGACTCACTGAATCCCTGCAATTCGCATTACGTATCGCAGTTCGCAGCGTTCTTCATCGATGTGCGAGCCTAGACATCCCACTGCTGAAAGTTGCTATCTAGTTAAAAGCAGAGACTTTCGTCCCCACAGTATAATCAGTATTAAGTAAAGGGTTTAAAATAAAAAAGCTACTAGCTCAGACCGAAGTCCAAACGCTCGCCTTTTGATAGGGCTCGCCCAGCAGTAGCCGCCAGCAATAAAGCCAGCAGCCGCCGCCAAGTAAGACCCCCAACTATTGGGTTGAAACGGTTCACGTGGAAAGTTTTTAGGTGTGGTAATGATCCTTCCGCAGGTTCACCTACGGAAACCTTGTTACGACTTCACCTTCCTCTAAATGGCGAGGTTTAAAAAAGTTCCCATCAATCCACTCGCAATAAAGCAAACAGACTCACGGTCCCAATTTTTCACCGAGTCATTCAATCGGTAGGTGCGACGGGCGGTGTGTACAAAGGGCAGGGACGTAATCAATGCAAGCTGATGACTTGCGTTTACTAGGAATTCCTCGTTCAAGACTGAAAATTGCAACAGTCTATCCCTAGCACGATGCGCATTCACAAGATTACCCAGACCTATCGATCAAGGTTGTATACTCGTTGAACGCATCAGTGTAGCGCGCGTGCGGCCCAGAACATCTAAGGGCATCACAGACCTGTTATTGCCTCCAACTTCCTTTGGTTTGATTACCCAAAAGTCCCTCTAAGAAGTCCACAAACCTACCAAAAATGGTAAGCGGAACTATTTAGCACGCGGAGGTCTCGTTCGTTAACGGAATTAACCAGACAAATCACTCCACCAACTAAGAGTGGG